CTCCCGCTCCACTCCCCTGCCTCCCAAGGGTAGGCCCTCCGGCACCTGTAAGCCCGAAGGCAGAACCAGGTTTCGCAACAGAGGCGAAAGCCGCCGGAGGCAACACATCATCCGCCAGCAGGGATAGACAGCTCCCGAGGTCAGGGGATCCTCGCACCACTCTGCAGGCAGAAGAAGAACAACGCAAACTTTCCTTACCTAAGTCGAGATCGGAGGAACCCCCTGCTTTCTGGAGATAGTCGCCGGTTTGGTCTCTAGAGAAATAGTCCAACACCGCTCACTTTTTGATAGCCGATTAGACATCAGCATATGGGTTTTATAGGGAAAAGACCCTGTGTTTCCCAGGTGGAATCGTGATTCCCAGGGTCTGTTGGAAATTCGAGTTTCACTGGGATTCGGATACCTTTGCCGCGAGATAATTCGGTGATTTTTTTCACGGATATTTGTCCCGAGAATCCCGCTCAACAGAAGAGGGGTCTTTGGATACGATTCAATCCTAACCGCCCTGGTATTCCGCCTCCACACCAGCTGATACCAGAGCTCGGCGACCGCCGACCCACCGATTCTCTTCCCTGCGGCGGTGCTGGGCCTGGAGGACGCTTCTTGGACTGTCGTCCTTTTCTTTCCCGGCAGCACACAGTGGGTAGCACCTCCCAAGGGAGTTTGGTCAATTTGTGAACACCCCCAGCTTGATTTCATGGGGAAAATCCCCTCCCCGGCGGCCATCAACCGATCTCGGCCTGCAGCTGGAGCAGGGTGTTCAACCGATTTGCTGGTTTCAGCAAATTTTCTCCCGCGAACGGGGCTTGAACAGATTCATCCCCTTCCATCTCCGACGAGTGGGGGAGCCAGAACCTCCATTGCTTCTTTGGTTGAGGTCGCAGCCGCTTAAGAGGGCTTTCCTCAGGGCTTCCAATTTCAACCGACTGACGCGAGCGTTTCTTTTGGTGGTGGCGCCGACCTCTGCGCCATTCCACCCCTCGCAAAATCTTTTCCGGCGAGGGGAGTGCGACAACTCTAGGGAGGCCATCGTTCCCAATCTTGGGTGGGGAATTGATCAGTCCCCGATCCTGCTTAAGGTACCAGCCTTTTGCAGTTTGATTTCTCCAACTTGCGGCAAAGAAAGCCGCGGCGGCCTAGGAAAGCCATCTCTTGAGCAGCGACCAAAAGCAGAGGAAAGAGGTGAGAGCGCCTCTCATTTTTTATTTATTTTTTTCAATTTCAACAGACCACAATTTCTTATGTTTTGGGTGGAGGGGATGGGTTGAGAGAAAATCTTAGAGAGAGAAAGAGAGAAAAGGGTTGTTTTGGTATGAAAAAAATGAAGAGGGGAGGGGGATTTATACAGCCACAAACCAGGGGGCAGTTTGGGCGGGAATGAAAATTAAAAACCGTGGGAGTTGGGGCGGTTTTTTATTTTTTAACAGAAGTCGTGGCTAGCGGACGCGGTTTCTGTAAGAGGACACGGATCAAAGCCACGATCACGCGGATTGCATAGTGACTGGTGGTCACCCGTCATATCGTGAGGGGATCCGACGGTATGTCTGACCGCCACGCCCACACGCGGCTAGTGGACAGAAGAAACGCAAACCATGTCCCAATGCGGCAGGGGCGGAGCTACATAGAGTGTAGGGTGGGCCCACCCGGGATTAGTCTCGGCCCCTAGGACCCTAAGGATATTCAGATAAAATTTGCATAAGTACAACTCGGCTGTATATTGTGTTATATAATAGTGATGTAGTCTATTGGTAGATAAGCTTGATTTTTATTTAGAAGCACAGAGATTCGATCCACAACTACCTCACATTTTGCTTTAGCCACTCCTTTTTTATTCTTTTATTACTTTAATCCAACTTCATATGAAAAAGTCAACCTCTATTTAATTTTCACTTGTCGATTTTTCTAATTAAAATTCTAATCATTCTCCTTTATAGAAACTATATGATTCAGGGATTGACAAAGATATGATTGTTAAAGGAACTAAAATGATGAGTTTCTTGTAGTTATTTATATTAAATGAAAGATAAATAAAATTTTTAGTTTAGATGCTATTTTGAACCATTATCTCAAAAAACGTTGTGTACTTTTAAAATAATTATTTTAGTTTTATTTATATTTAATTATATTCGGCCCACCCGGTCTCGAAATCCTGGCTCCGCCCCTGCAATGCGGTCTGCGTTTAAATTGTGGCCCCCTTTGGTTTGTATTTAATTGTGGTATAATTGGAATTATTCCTATAAGTAGTGTTTTTGAAATTATTTAGTTTTAGAGTGGTATTTCTAAAAAAAAATCCTAAAAATGCGCCAAGGACTTCCTACATTTTATTTCATGGAGGAATCTATGCCGAAGTAAGCATGATGGGGGATGGGGTTCCGCCGCTTTGAGCAATTCAATCAAGCATTACTTGCTAAGATTGGGTGGCGTATCCTGATGGAGCCTCAATCCCTATTGGCCCAGGTTTATAAAGGTAAGTACTTTCCCAATGGGACCTTTCTTGCTGCTTCGGCTCGATCCCGGCCATCGTGGGGGTGGCAGAGTATCTTCTATGGCCGGCAACTTCTGGAAAAGGGGTTACGGTGGCAAATAGGGGATGGTCAAACTGCGTCCTTACTTAATTTGAATTGGATCCCAGGGCTGCAGGCTGATCCCCCATGTTATAATCCGCAAATCTTGCCAGGGAGGGGGGATCCGGTTGTCGCGGAAGTTATGTGTCCGGGAGGGGGGGGGTTGGGATGTTAGTAAGCTGGCACAATGGTTTGATCCTCCAACCTGTAAGGCCATTCAGGTTATTCCCCTTCCGAGACAAAATGTCCCTGATAAGATCATCTGGCATGGTACGAAGGATGGGATCTTCACGGGCAAGTCGGCCTATCAGTTAGCTGTGAGTATAGATCGGAGGGGAGGTGGTTGGCGGTCAATGGTAGGCTGGATGGACAGGCAATCCTGGATTCGGTTATGGGAGGCTAATATCCCCCCGAAACTGAAAGTCTTTGTCTGGCAAATTTTTAATCGTATCTTGCCTACTACGGAAGCCCTTATTGAGAAGCAGGTTCCGGTGATGCCTAGATGCCCGGTGTGTTGGGCCAGCACAGAAACGATGGAGCATTTGTTCTTATCTTGTCCGGTGGCTAGGGCCATCTGGGATTACTCCGGCCTCGCCTATCTGGGGGAGGGGCTCCCTCGTCATACCTTCCCGTTGTTCCTCAAACGACTTCTGGCCTTGATTCATCAGCCTACACTTTTTATGGCCGTCGTTGCTGTCCTTTGGCGGATTTGGAGGTCGCGGAACTGGGCTGTCTTTGAAGGCAAGCAGTTTGGGTTCCCGGCCTTGATGCGCCAGTTCTATCAGCAGTATGAGGAGTGGGTTCGCCTGCCAGTGGACTGTGTTCCATGGGAGGTTACCCCTAGGGCGGAGGTGCCAAGGACGCAACAGTTGGGCCTTTCTGGGGAGGACAGTGTAGTTTGTATGTGGGATGGGGCAGTTAGGAGGGGTTCGCATTCGGCGCGGGGGGGGGGGGGGGTGTGGTTCTCTTTACTCCATCGGGGGATGTTTGGTTGGTGAGAGGTGTCCAGATTCCGGCCATGGATGACCCTGGGGTGGTGGAGTTTGAAGGGGATGCCAAGGTTATTATCGATAAACTCAATCAGGCTGATACCGGGGATAACCGAGTTGGTGCTGTGCTGGAAGAGCTTGTGCAATATTTTAACAGCCATTCGGGGTTTAGTGTTCGATTTGTAGGTCGGCGTCGTAATAGGGTAGCCCATTTGGTGGCTCGTAAAGCCCTTTCTTTGGATCCGACTATGAGTCGTTCTTTTGATTTTCGGGCCTGGCTAAGTTCCAGGATGTAACTGTCTATTATTTTGAATCAATATATGATTATCTTTTGTCAAAAAAAAAAAACTTCCTACATTTTATTTCAATTAAAAGCTAAAACTCGCCTCCATCCTTTTATCTCCTTTTACCTGTCCAACTTCTTCTCCAACCCATCATTAACGTTAACCTAGACCTCGCAAATGAGGACCCGACCCGTTGACTCGACTCGAACCCGCCCGAAAAATAGAGAATGGGTTGAGGTTTTTATAACCCGAAACCCAAATGACCCGAACCCGATTAACCCGTAGTTTTTGGATCGAGTTGGGTTGATTTGTGGGTCGACCCGCTAGACCCGTTTCATTGCATATGTCACTCTCAAAATGATAAAATCACTTATACTTTGGTGAGATGTTAAAGAAAATTTATTAGCATTTGAAAGACAAGTTTGGATTGTTAAGATAATCAAACATCATTTGTTTATTGTAGTAGTATTACTTTTGTCATTGTTTTTTGACAATTTGTGCAATTTGTATTTCTTTTCATTAGCATGGAAGGAGTTGAGCATTTGTTAATGTACTAGGCAAACTATTATCGCACATACGTAAAAATTTGTGTTCTTTAAAATTTATGAAACCTGTTTGATATTGTTTCTGAGAACCCTCATGACCCAAAATGACCCGAAACCCGACCCGAAACCCGATGGGTTGGGTCAATATTTGATCCGAAATCAGCAAACCTATCATGACCCGACCCATGAAGACCCGTAACCCGAGATTCCCAACCCGAAATTACCCAACCCGACCCGACCCGATTGCCAGGTCTACGTTAACCATATCCCCCTTCTCTTTTTATTCTTCTCCCTTAAAACCTCTCTTATATGGGACTTAAGTGGTTACTGCACTTAAGTGGTAGGGGATATATTTTGCCTTAAAATTATGGTATACTGGCTAAAGCCTAAAAGTAAAATCATTAATCTATATTAAGATAGCCATTGAAAACAAAACTATATTATAAGTTTGTCAGCATAAATGGTAAACAAACCTCGACATTCTGCATTAAAGATGTCACATGATCACATTTCATCCAAATTACTTTACAGAGAAAAAATAACATCAGTGAAGGAAAATCACATGATCTCATAGAGCTGCTAAGTGTTGAGCACTAGCGAAAGAAGACCATCTTGGATCTAGTAATTGCCGGACTTGCAGATATTACTGTTTCCCAACTCGTTATTCGTTGAACTCCATTTCATTTCATAGTGTTACATTATGCAGCCGAAATGTTGCAGACGTACAATAACACCGACTCGTCAACATCATCATCACCAGTTCATAACCAAAACCCTCGAATTTGTCATGATATGTGAGTTCCAAGAACTGGATGCTCTGGTTTCTGAACTTATGATAAGAGGACACATAATTGGGGAGAAAAGAAAAGGAAGATAAATGCTAAAGAATAAGCTCGTCCACAAATTGGCCACGGGGATCTGATTCTACAAATGTAGTATCTTAGTAGTCAATCCTACACAGGAAAAATACTAAAATGAAAACGAAAAACCTTCCATACAACAAATCATTGATCGTCAGAGCTACCGGAGAATGGATTTCTCCACTACTCCTCTATTGCTAGTGTCCATCTGTTTCATCTGCTTCAGCAATCTCCACTACTCTTCTATTGCTAGTATTCATCTGCTTCAGCAATCTGCATTAACACCCATATACAATCCCTTCTAATTGTGAAGGGTATCTCCTCGAATCACATTTCATTACATGAAAACCCCCCCAAATCGTTCACCTGCCAATATGTTGGAAGGCAAGGAATGGGTTTGACAACCTCAGGAACAGTCACATTCTAAGCAACATGGGAACCTGACCAATTGCCTAAATAATCATGTTTCTAAGAGGTATTTTCAAGTCGTTGTAAGGAACTTATAAAGAGAGAAGTTGACCATTTTGTGGTTCTGAGATCTAAGAGTACCTTCAGTCAATCTTCATGTTCACCTTCTGAATCTGCAGAACGGAAATACATGGGAAGTTCATTTTAGTGCTAACGTTGCATCTAAAGCTAGCTGAAGTAACTGATAGCAGTATCCTACTGGTTGCAAGGCATAACTTGAAATGACTGGCTTCAACTAGAAATGTTCGTTTAAGTGTATCAATCTAAATTCAGATGTACTGCAGAGATCTATAAACAATATATTTGAAAGAGATGAGATTCTAAACATCTTTTTTGCTCAGGGTAGAGTTTGAAATGAAGTACTGCTTATGCACACTATACTCAACATCGTTGTTCCCAGTCACATAGTATGGGCTTTTCTATATTAAAGAGAACCAATTCAAACCTACGTACTGAACCCAGTACACAAATACAAGCAAGCACACAACAAGACAATTCTTCAGTATTCTCTAAACTGCCACATATGTGTATTATTGATGTGTTTAGCCTACCTGATCGAACATCATCACTTAGCTGTCCCCTTGCTTGGATTTGCTTGACCAGCATCCGATAGATCAACACCCACCAATATATGTGAAGCACAAGCAAGCAGTATAGAAGAGAATTAAACACGTAATAATAGATCGGACCCTCCCAGTCATGCCTCTTCTTGTCCAACGTCAAGACAACTTCATAGCTGCAATTGAGTTAAGAAAGCAAGATCACTAGGGAGAAAACAACTGGCAAACTAAACAGAATATCATCAAGACAACCAGAACACCACCAAGAAAGAGAAGATGAGCCACGCTGGGTCGAAAGCGCAATCTTGGAATAGGAGCAATGTATTCTCGCCATATCTTGGAGAGGGATGGAATACTCTAACTCAAGGTCTTAAACACAAAGAAAAGTATCAGCTACTGTTCTTTGGTGAAGCTGGACTCATCATCAGTTGATAGATAACAACCTTAGCTTACAGTATTACTCAGTTTGTTGTACTTCAGTCATCAACCACCAAGCTTGAGGTCGACTTAAACTTGATTTGCTAGGAGTCAATGAACATGACATGCGCTTGAGCTAGTATTTTGCTTGATTTAGTTGGACAGATCATCTATACGACTCCACCACAAACTCATTCCGAACAGTCCCTGAGTTCTCCACATGACAACCTTACCAGTATAGAAGCTGAGAACATACTCGTTTAGCTAGTGTATGGCATGTCTGTGCTACAAGTTAAGCCTAAGCCTTCATTAATCTCCTCAAAAATAAAAATGAAATGTCAAGCCCTTCTAATGTCTCTCCCTGATAGTAAGTTTATACAAAGGCTGTATAAGATATATGATAAATAGTAACTTCCAAACCAGTACTCAGAATAGCATCACCAAACATAAAATTTTATGTTAGCAACACTGGCCCGTGGACAACAACTACAAATATCAAGACCCTACGATAATATATTACTTAAGCATCGAATCGTACAAACCTTGTACTCCAGAGGACCCAAAATGGATAGTAAATGAGCCGGAGCAAGATCCACGATAATACGAAAAGAATAAATGCAAAGCTTGCTATGCCTTCAGCACCACTATATTTGGACATTTTTCCCACCTCCAGAAATACATCACTAGCGTCATGAAGAGCTAAGACAACTGAACCCACACGACCAAATCTGCAAGCAAAGGAACAAATACAATTATTAAAATTGCCATCAATCACTAACATCTGATACATACATATGTGTTTCATAGCCTACACTGCAATATGTGAAGCTGTACTGATACGGTCAAAAGAACCTTCACAAAATTGCAACACAATGACGAAATGATCTGAATATATGAAAACAACTCTGCCTTTAGTTACCTAAATATGTAGGACAGAACAATGAGAATGACAGTAGCAACATGATGGCTCATGGAGACTCCGAAGTCAGAACGCCTTGTCTCCCAAAATATGAGAGCAAATATTGAGTATGTATAAAACCCAGCAGAGTACATGTATAAGCCTTTCAACTTTAACCTGAAATTCCACAGAATAGTTTTTGTTCAGTTATGGTACTTTGATAAATCTAATCAGAGCTATGGCGAACTGCTAAATAAGAACCAATAAAAGCTATAGTGCTCTGACGTCCTTCCAAATTCTTACTTCATTTGTTGATCTGGCCAGACTTGATTTCCTGGCCCCACCCAAAAGTTTTTTGTGTTTGTAAACCAAGGCTCATTATACGTGACAGATAAAGCTAAAATCTCAGCGGAAAGGAAGTAGATACATTTCCATGCTGATTCTTTGAATTTTCCTATCTTCTTCTTTCTGTCTGCGGCATCATCCTCCACAATCTGGTATCCCTTTCCAAAAATCAATCTTCTCCCCACTTTCTGCAACATGGACATTAACTTCAGACTCACCCAGCAAAAAACATGAGTGAGCTAAGAGAAAGAAGAGAGACAGAAGGTTAACTAATATACAACACTTGTGAGAGAATAGTAGTATTAGAACAACAGCAGAAAACAACAGCAACCCTTTTCCATGTTCCTTTGCTGATAGTGTTCTAACGGAAGTTGCAAGCCATGAAGTATAACCAGTGACCATTCTATAAATTAAGTTGCTCAATTCATTGGGAAAGGAAAAGACGTTCTTGTCACTTTGTGCAACGATGGTTCAAAAATAATAAGAAAATGGAAAATCGCTCCTTATTCACACATGAAAATATTCACAGCGGGTTCAGCACTTCACTAGGATTTTGACAACCTAGAACATATGGCAATTACTTCCCAGCAAGAACATAAAAGTTAATGTCACGTGTACTGAAGATAGTGCATGCCAAATAGGAAAGCTAAGCTATAACAGCAAAATGTAGGTCATGTTTCAACGTACCCACGGAATAATATGACCTGGAAAATAGTACGACAAACAAACAGGAATGAAACAACCCACATGAGAAACGGAACACTTATATTCTACATACAGCTATTTGTGGTCATACTGCATATATCATGTTTTCACTGTAGATGCGAAACAATACCTCTTTCGATGATAGGAACCCATACACATTAATCAAAATTCAAATCGTAGTTACCTTGCCTATGTTACCACAATCATGATAAACAAGTCTATAACAACAGAGAGAAGTTCAAAAAGAGGAAAGATGTAAAAGAAGATGAATCTATTGCTACCCGCAACTTCTGAAAACCTCAACTGAATGAGCCAGGAATCAAGATTCAAAAGAATCTTTACCATAACATGCTAGTCTGATACTCAAAAGCATAAACACTTGTGTAAATGCTGGCAGCAACAGACTAATCACTGTTTTCTTGTAACAAAAGCCAACCGAACCCAGATCCTGAATGGGGGGTACTATAGCCCAATGGGAAAACAAGCATACTGGAGATGCACAATGGCCTTAAAGTTTGATAATCTCGGAGAAAATTTTCAGAATACATTATTAGCCTTAACTGAAGCTAATAAGGCGTGCATCCGAAAAGTTAGCCACTAAGCTTCTGGAATATACTGCAACATCCAATTGAAGTATTTCCTGGTGTGCCTCAAGACTTCACTTCTCTATTCTGAAATCTAATAATTTCTTAATGGAAGCTATTAGCACTACTAAGTGGATATATTCGGATCAACTTAAATTCCCGTCATTGTTCTCTAGATTCACACCATTTCAACGAATCTAGCTACCTAAGTTCAGCAGGAAACATAGGCAAAAATGTCAACGACCCGGTAAACAAAAACTACACGCAGAATTCACGGACCTCAACACACAACCCTTTGCCCTAGCAATCAGAAGCAAACAAACTTATAATGCCAAAAGAGAATGTCTCAATGCACCAAGCAGAAGGTTCAACAAAGTTTCTAAGTCAGCTGGAACCTAAAAGAAGCGGGAGATAGCAAGACATGCAGCAGAAGTACGAAGGGAAACCCAGAAGCAAGCGTACCTCAAATACGAATCTGTCTAAGAAGAACCGGACAGTGGGGAAGAAGAAAGCAAAAAATGGAAGAACCATATAGTCTTCGTAAGCTGGATACGATTCATGTTCCCAGTCAATTGAACTCAGAAGCTCCGCGAACCCCATCTCAAGAATCAGAGCAACAATTGCAACCAACAGAGCAGAGGAAGAAGTGAAGGGGGAAGAACGGCCTCCTTTCGCCGTCACTGGAATCTAAAAATACACAAACGACGGACGAAGACGCAAGAGTTGCGTTTTTCCCCCCCTTTGTTCAGTAGTGACGAATCTGACCACTAAAATGGAACGATTGGCCGGTGGTCGATAAACGTTTACGATATGGTCCTCTGTTTTACTGCAATTAACGGTAATGGACCCCGAATTCTCTCTTCTCCTGCGTGTTATTATCTCAGATTCTTTTCTTTTTCCTTTCTTTCTTTTTTTTTTTTTTTTTGCGCCGAGCACGTGTGATGGAATCTGTAGTGAAATTGGTTTATACCGATGTGTTGGTTTAGAAGTGGTATGGTTGGATTAGTGATGTAATTGTTTGGTGTTGGTTGATTCCAATTTAATAAAATATATATAATTTAAATATATATAAAATATATTTGAAAATAATTTATTTATAGTTTATATTCATATTTAAATAAAATACAATGGATAAATTATTAGTCACTAGAATTATTGAATAATTTCACGGTTGTCACTAAAATTATTTTATTTCATTCATGGTTACTAAGATTAGTTTAACAGTTTAAGTTTAATCACTCTCCATTAATCTCCATTATTTTCATCATATGTGGCGGTCAACACTCATAGTTGACCGTTAAAATAGTGACGTGTTAATTAAAATAATAATAATAAATAAAATTTAAAATTCTTATTTATGAGGAGAGAACTCCTATTTATACACAATTGAGGGTTAGGTAGTGGTCTGGGCGCCTGCCAAGCCATAAATGCTCTGGTCGGGCGCCTCAGACTCTCTGACACTGTTCATAGTCCTTTTGGCAGAGGGTGTCCCCCTGCCCCTTGTCCTTGCTGATGTCAGGTGCCTGACCTTGTCTCTTGTCTCCCAGCCTTGTCTTTTTCCTCTTGTCTTCTTTCCTTCTTCATGTCATTAGCCATGATATTAATCCCTTAATTACTATGATACCCTATCAATTGCCCCTTTTGGCGATGGCACAAGCAGTGTGGCATCGGCAAACAAGTATGTTCTAAAAAGGTCTAAAAAATGAAGCTGAAAGGAAGGTCAACTACTAAAATAAAAATTCAACTACTAAAATAAAAATAAAAATAAAAATAAAAATAAAAGTGAAAATGAAAATAAAAATGAAAGAGGAAAATAGGAAAAGAATTAAAGAAAGTATCCATACAGAATAGGAATAAAGAGGGCGAATACGAAAATACCAATACGAAAATTTTTTAGGGGAGGATGTGAAAGCGCTACCCCCAATAGACTACTTGTGGTGGTAGTGGGCTAAACCCTCCACCAGACTTAGGCAAATTTGAGAAGGGGGGGTGGATGGGTTGGGCTTTAAAGAATAGCCTGCATTGGGAAACGCCCTCTCTCCCCCACCCCCTATTTAAACTCATTTTCGCCCCCCTTCCATCATTTTTTCGGCCGCCCCCTCTCTCTCCTCCTCTCCTCCTTCTTTCGCCATCTGCTCACACTCCTCGGCGCCTCTTCCCCCTTTTCATAGGCGCCTTGCTCCTTTCGGTTCGGCGCCTTCTCTCTGCTCCTGGCCGGCGCCTCTACTCTTGTTAGGTAAGCGCCTCTCCTTACCCCTTGATGGTTGTTTTTGGTTCTCGGTTCGTTTTTTGGGGTTGGCCCCTCCATTGTATCTGCTTCTTTGGTTCGTCGTTTGGGGTAGGCGCCTCTATTGTTTTTTCTTTGGTTCGTTGTTTTTGAAGGCGCCTCTCCTCTTTCATTAGCTCGAAGGCGCCTCTCCCTCTCTTTTTGAAGGCGCCTCTCCTTCTCTTTTTCGCGAGTCTTCAGCGCCTTTGTAGCTCTTTGCAAATCCCCGGCTCCTTTGATAATGGTTTGATGATTTGAATGGACGCCTTGTACTTTGCTTTATGTTGTAGTTTGGTAGTTTGAACGGTGACGCCTTTTGTTCCTGGTACTCCTGGCTAGGTGCGATTTTGCTTTTAGGTTACGGTATACGCACCTCCGAAAGTAGTTTGGTAGTCTGATCAGTGGCGCCTTTCTCTTTGTAGGCGCCTAGCAAAAAGTAGGGCGGCGCTCCTTTGTGAAATTCCTTTGATGATTTTTCTTTGGTGATTTTAATGTGATGCTGTCTGTAGGCTTCTTTCAAAAGCACCGCTCTGCTTACTCGCGCCCTAACACTTTGTTTGCTCGCAGGTTTCAATTTCAAGGCGTCAGAGGCGCCTATCGCAACACAGTCACGGGAGGCAACGGTTTTCTACCCGCGCGTTATCGGCTTAGGCGTTGTACACGCTTCTCTTCCAAGGTTAACTTCGCTGCTTACCACTCGCTCATGGCTTCCAACAATTCTCAACCTTCTGCGACTGTGGGTGGCGCCACCGCCTCTAAGAAAGGAAAGGAGAAGGCGTCTTCAAGTAAAGTTAGGAAGATGGGTAAGCTACGCTCTCTCTATCTCGTTAACTTTAATATCGTATATTTGCTGTTTGGGATTCTTAGTGGATCGAACAGTGTATAGACGATCCAAATGGAGACTCGCCGAGATTGCTAGTGACATCGAGGATGATCAATCATATACCCGTCAGGAGGTGCTTACTGAAGATGATACGTCAAGTGCGGACCCTGACCCTCTCCCGTCTTCTTCTCGGACGGTTACCGATTCAGGCTATACGATTTTGCCATGGCGGGGGATGTGGGGTGGTGAGGCGCCTCCCTCTTCGGCGCGCCTACTGGGTCCTGACAAGCGACCCAGCATTCAACTTCATCGCGTTGTATCTTATATCCGCGGCCTAGGTTACCCTACGGACTGGGGATATGCGATTCCGGATCGTAATGCTCGCATCGGGAGTTGCCCCGAGGGTTGGTTTGCGGTTTACTCGGAGTATCTGAAGTGTGGTTTGAAGTTCCCATTGGATCCTATCTTGTCGGGCATTTTGGAGATGGTTGGATGCCTTCCTAGCTTCCTGTCCCCTTCGCTTATCTTTCACACTTGCGCCTTCCAGCTCATCTGTAAGCGCTTAGGCTACATCCCTTCATTCTCTATCTTTCGTAGCATATATGCACTGGAGCGGGGTAAGCATGGCTGGTCGGCTGTGAAGCGCGATAGTAAGTACCAGGGGCGGATTTGCAAGGGATCACCTAAGCTCCCTAGCAAATGGTATTGTTCCTACTTCTTTATTAGGCCGACCCCCGGCACTTGGCATGCGCCAACTTCGGCGCCTCTCTCGACTCTGTGGGGTGAGGGTTCGGAAGAAACTTGGGCCAAGGATTTTACCCTTGCGAAGCCTGAGCGGGAACAGAAGCATCACATTCTTCGTGCGCCCCCCGTGGACTTTAGGAGAAAAGGGGAGAGAGCGCGCGCCTTGGGAGAACTTTACGACCATGGTATATTTCTTTCGAATGATTTTATTCTATCTCCAACTTATGGTATTTGCATAACTCTTTTTTTTTTGCAGATTTTGACTACTCGAGCCTAGCGAAGATGACTAAGAAGATTCATGGGGCCTCCGGAGCCAGGGCACAGAAGGCGCCCAGCATCCCTGCCGAGCGAACTCCCCGTTCATCTGGCAAGGCGTTTGACGACGTCGAGGAGGCGTCTCCTCGATTGTTTCCTTCCTTGGGGTCGCGCGACCCTCTCCCAGAGAAGACATTAGGCAAGCGCCATGCCTCGGCCGACTCTCCCGTTGTGGTTCCGAAGAAGAAAAACAAGCCAAGTCTTGGGAGTATTGATGAGATTTTGGCACTTCCTCGCTCGCGACGTGCCGTAAAGCCGAAGGAGCCTGTTCCAATCTCTCCGTCTGCTGCCCTCAATGCTCCAAGCGCCTTTACTTCGGCCTTGGAGTTGAAGAAGTTCCTTAAGGTTCCCCTTGACGAGGGTACCTCTCCTGCAGGCTCGGCGTGTCAGCACTTGTTTCAGGTATGCTCCCACACACTTTTACTATTAGTAGATCATGCTTCATTACTAATTGTTGTTGTTTCTTGTTTAGGCGATGCTTGATGTGATTACTCTTTCTGACAAGAGTGCGGAGAATCGGGATCGCGCCCATCAGAACTTTCTGCAGGCTTCTCAGTTGAAAACTGACAAGATCACCCTCCAAAGTGTTAACTCTCGTCTGGAGGATGAGTTGGCATCGGTGAAGCGGCAGCTTTCGGACGCCTTGGCTGCTGAGAGTGTTTCTGCTCGTGAAGAGAAGGAGAAGGAGATAGCATTCCAGGCGAAGCGGATTGACACCTTGGAGAAGGAGCTGTTGGCGATGTCTGCCGCTAGGGGTCACCAGAAGGTGAGTTCTCTTGTTGTGTCTTTCTTGCTCTCCCTTCATTCGAGCTAAGCGCGTAAACCTTTTTATTTTTTTTTATTTTTTTATTTTAGGAGGAATTTAAGAAGAGACTGATCAAGGAGCGTGAAGATGCCGTAGACGCCCACTTGTCCTCAGCGGAATTTCGTGAGTGGCAGCAGAACCTTCTGCTCGGAGTGAAGAAGAGGGCTTTCATCGGCATTCGTAAGAAGGTCCGTTCCGATAATCCTGACATGAAGTGGGATACTCCGGAGGTCTGGCAGGCTATGGATGATTACTTCCTCTCCCTTGGTACGGATAACGAGCCTTCTGACTCGGACCCGTTCCCCTTGGATGAGGGTGACTCTTCTGCCGATGATGTGGAGGTTGACGTCGAGAAGGTTGGGGAAGAGGGAGTGGGTGACAACGTTGATGCCAATGCTGGTGCTGGGGAAGGTGGTGGGGACGTGGTTGCTATCGATGGTCAGGGTGGCGCCTCGGATGGTGGTACCGATGGTGACTCTAGCTCGTCCGACAATCACTCGAGCAAGTCGGACTAGTAGAGTTGGGACGTTTTTTTCTTTTCTTTGTTCGTCTGGACTTAGTCAATTTTATGTTATCTTCTGCTCATTTCTCCCTTGCATGTCTGTGGATGTTTAGCCTTCGGGCTATTATTTTGAACAGTGTTATCGGCGAGTTCTCCGTTTTCTTGGACCTACCTATTGTGAATGTTGTTTTAGTCCTGTCATATATTTGATAAGAAGGAGTAATGCGTCCAGGCTCCTTCTTGACGAAGGAAGAAAGTTTTGGATCGCCCATGCGTATTCTTGAAAAAGAAGTGACGCGTCTAGGCTTCTCCTCGACGGAGGAAGCAAGCTTTAGATTTCTTCACACGTATTC